CTAGGAAAGAAATTATTAAAAAAAGAAAATAGAGGAAATTAAAAGAAGAGTTTAGGGAAAACAGAAGATAGATTCAAATTCAATAAACATTTTCAATTAATCCATTTTAGATATTTGTTCTAATTCATTTTTCCCAATTATGTCAAGGCTAAAGATCTGAATGCATATCATTTGTAAAAAAAAGACATTGTCGTTTTCCTTTGTGTTTTTCTAGGTAAAACCAAACATAAGAATTTAACTTTCATGAGCATGTTTTTCTTCCCTGGCATTATCTGAGATCCAAACAAACACTGTCACTTAATAATATCTGATTGATTATTAGGCGAGGATGATCGTGGATTTTGTTATCACCTAGTTGATTGAGTATATAGCTGATTTAAGTGATGTGCACTCATTGTAATAGGTGCAAGCTCACATTATAAAGATGAGAAGACAGCTGAGTATGATGGAAGAGGTGCCTCTAACATTCAAACAAGAATATGATTAGGAATTAAAATGTATGTATAGTATGACTCCTCATTGCAGATATGCTATATTGCCGCTTCTAGTTATTGATTGATTGGGGGCCGGGGTCTTCATCTCTTAGTTGAAACTATTTCCTAGTTGATTAGTCAAAGCCTCTGAGGCTGGCTGGAGTTATGATGTTAGATGGTGTATGAACATTTTTCCTGTGTCATTGTCCATTGGAATGAGGTGTACTCCATTATGGAACTGCAATGAAAGATGCTACTGTTTTCTTTTTGGTGACCTGGTGCCTGGTGGTGTGTTCTATTGATTATGTGAGGCAAGTGTGTGCATACTCTCGTTGGGGCACGTTTGGTCAAGGATTGTATGGCTTAAATGGTGGAATTTTCTGAAAACAAAGATGTTTGGTAAAATCAATTTAAGGTCAAATAAGGTCTTAAGGTGGGTTTTGCTATGTGTTTTATTTATTGGGGAAATTATAATTGTTTTGGGAAAAGGTAAAAATGACAGGGCAAGGTAAATCTGTTATATGTTTAATAAAATATTTTATTTCTATAGATGCGTTTGGTGGTTCACACATTAAAACTTTACATGCAATATATGCAATATGATTGCACGTAAAGTTTAGGGTTGTAATTAGTTTGCAAAATGATTGTTTGAATACCTATGTAATCCATTTTTAAATTACACGCAAACTCTTTATAGTGTTTATTTGGAAGATAACTTTATAAAAGATTTGCATAGCCCATTCATGATTCAGCCACACTTGCGTGACAATCACAATTTTATGGCCATTGACATGGCGCCGTTCACCAAAATCACCACCGGTGTTTCAAATTAACTCACATATTTAGATTAATCCTCCTTCCGCTCCTTAATTAACTTTACACTTTCCTTTTTGGGTCGTCCCATATTAAACTTTACACTTCCCTATTTGCCTTATTTGGCAAACAAATCTACACCAAGCAGTGCAAAATAGTGTCAAACAGTGTCAAACAGTGTCAAACAGTGTACTCTACAGTAAAGTCAAATTAATTTCCTTAATATGTGTGAAGTCAAAGTGTAAACATCATTAAGGACCGAAGGGAGTATCAATCGATTCTCGCTCTCGTCATCAAAGGTTACACATATATACTTCACATATACTTCTATATAAGAGAGTACACACACACGGATACCAGTTTAGAAGCCATTAAAAAACTAGTGTAGAAGAGTAGAAGCAACCTCTTGAAACGTGGAGTGAGTGGAACGTGGAGGGAAGAAATTTGCAGCCTCGATGATTTTGCAGCAAGCCAGTGTCGAAGCAACCTCTTGATGATTTTTATTGCAGCCAATCTTCGAAAGTCTAGGTTGAAAATCACAATTAGACATATTATTCGTCATGTTAATGGGTGGAAACTAGTTTACTGCCCTCTTCCTATGTGAAATATTTTACATGATACAATGTAATGTTTTTAAAAAAGTGTCCTACAGTTTACATTAAATAATTAAACAAACGGTGTAAAATGTTTACTCCTCCACACTTTGCATGCAAAGTGTTTACTTTACATCATAACCAGGGCCGAACCTCTACGTGAGTCAAAGAGGCAACTGGCTCAGGCCCACAAATTTGGGAAAAAACATTAGGGCCCCAAAAATTTATTAGTTACCTTTATATAGAGGACAGTTCATGTCCGGAATTTCGGACAGGAAATACCGCCTTTGGCCGCCTTTTCTGTGAAATTTTTTTGATGAAATTTTTATGGCATGTTTCTTATCAAGTCTAGTTTATCCACAAACAAATTCAGCTTAAAATTCAATCGGGAAGACCGTTAAATAATTTTTGGAATTTAACTCCGTTTATTGTGTATATTTTGGCCCATTTATCTTTAAAAACCCATTTGACGGCCTTCCCGATGAATTTTTAGCTGACATTTTTTGTGGATAAACTAGACTTGATGAAAAACATGATAAAAATTTAATCAAAAAATTCCACCGGGAAGGCGGCCAAACGCCGCCGTCCAGATGGCGGTTCCTCTCCGGAATTCCGGACATGAACTTTCCTCCCCAAAATTTTTGAGGGCCTTTTCTTACAGCTCGACTCAGACCAAAAAACTCTTAGGATCGACCCTGATCATAACAAACGGGCCCTATATGTAGTAGTGTATATGGTTTCCCATATACCAACTAGGATGAATTATGTAGTTGTGAACATACGGAGTAAAACTTTAGACCATATGGTATAGAAAGATACTCCCTCCGTCCCGTAAAATAGTTCCCACTTTCCTTTTTGAGTCGTCCCAAAAAATAGTTCTCATTTCCCTTTTTGGAAAGTTTTGTGTGGCTAACATTCATTTACCTTTTTCTTACTCAACCACAACCATACATTTCCACTTTATTCTCATTTTCTTAAACTCCGATCCAAATCAAAATGGGTACTATTTTATGGGACGGAGGTAGTATATATTAAAGACTAATACAATCATCATAAACGAAAATATACTTTATGGAGTTCATGCTACTTCAATGATTTGAAACCATGTTAAACCGTGTAGTTGAACTATGTAACAATAAATAAATTAAAAAATTATCTTGAATAGGAGTAAAAATGTTTAAATTTCAAAATAGTAGTTGTTGGGTAATTCGCCCAATACAGAATCAGCCCAAAACCTCATAAGGAAAAGGGATCAAGAGTAACAAAGGCTCACGCGACGCTCATCATGGCCTGGGCGGCGCTTCATGCGCGTCACCTATACCTTGGCCCGTTTAGGCCAAGTAGTCAACGGGGGCTTCAACAGAGGATGCTCGCCAGGCGTCGAGCAGCACCCGTGCCTTGCGCTTTCTTGGATCAAAGATCATGAAGGCCTCATATGGAACGTCCATCAGAATTGGCGGGAAAGCGAAGATATTGGCAGGGTACACATTAAATGCACCAGATATGCGAGATTCGGTGGTTGGAAGGCTAGCCACTTATGATCCTCCACATCATCACTATCACCTAACTCATGGTAGTATAAATAGCAACACTTATTTCATTGTTAGGGGTTGATAACATATACATTAGCTTTAGCTTATAATCTCCTGTAGTAACGGCTAGCCTAGACGCTCGGCCTCGACTTTCAGTAGGGTGTGCTGTAATCGTTCGTTATTGTCTAATAAGAACTCGATCCACACATTGTCTCCATCTCATTTGCTAAGTACTTGTGCCTCTTTACTCATATAACTCACCAAAAGCATTCCATCGAAGCTCAAGAGGACGTATTGGGCCCTTGGAGTTGGAGGAATAAACCTAACAGTAGTGTTAAGTTTTTATTCCTTAATAAATAGAAGTAGTTACTGTGAGTTTGAAAAATACTACCAGGATATGTCATTGAATTTTCAAAGTGACAGTAATGCACTCCTATTTAGGAAAAACATAATACTTTTATTTTAGAATTTTACATTTTTACTTTTATTTTGAAAACTTTCCCATACAATATTGAACTTTAAAGCACACACACTTGCATTCATATCCAACTAAATTAACATCAAGTCCAACAAAACCAAATTACACTACCCTTCCCAACAAAAAGGCATATTTGCATAAGGTACATTTTTGTATGCTTAGTCAACTAAATCACGGTCCATGCAATTTTGGACGCGATTTTCACTATGGGTCATCCGGAAACAGTGTCTCTGTGCTTTAGTATAAGGGTAAGACTGCGTACATCCGACCCTCCCTTACCCCACTGTAGATGGGAACCTTTGCGGCACTGGGGTAAATGAAAATGAAATGATGTAGTAAACTAAATCACGGTATGAACTTTTACGAGGTAAAAGTTATCGAGAAGGTGAATTTGGGAGAACATATTGTCAAATGATAATCATTTTTAACCTGCGGCTAACTAGAGTGGCTGCACAATCAATGTTTGGTCTCGTGTCAAACGATAATATGAGAATTAGTTTCTTGCTGGAAACCTATAGTAAAAAAAAACTGTAGTGTTTCACAAATTAGTAGCAGTTCTCCCGAGTGTGGTGGGAACTTAAGAGCACACACAACTAATCAATTAAGAACAACTGTAGTTGGGAGTTTGGGACCTTTGGAAATGGGATTGGAACGGCTGTAGTCGAGTAATCAGATGGCAAGTGCCAACAACCATATACGATCATACAAACGCCCAAATGCCCAATTAAAGGATAGTATTAGTACTCGTATAATCCAGCTGTTCTACTAGACTAGAGTTTAACTGTGAGATATAAATGATTGAATTACCTTATTTTCATTTCCTTGTGATGAGAATAAACTAACTTTAGAATGCTTTATAATTTTATGATCCACGCCTTCGCTAAATTTACCTAATCCAAACAAAGATTGCATTACCTTGTTTCACAATCCTTTATGGTTTATTTTATCGTCCTAACCTTTACTAAATTTAGTTAATCCAATGTCATTTACATTCTCTCCCCAATAATCAACTCCCTTCCTTTACCCCCACCCCCCAAAAAAAACACACACTGAAAAGTGAAAACTAAAACAGAAACAGAAACGATCAAAGTTACACTCTACTAACAAATAAAGAGTGACAACTAACCATCCCAATAGCCCCATGGCCTCCATCACCCATTATAAATTCAAAAGAACAATTTAACAATTCAAGAATGGTTCTAGTTAAAACATAAATGTTTCTTGAAATCACAGAATATGCATTTAATGTTTTACCAAAACAACCACCAACAGGGACCAATGATATAAGAACATTGACCAAATACAATGATGCCGATACAAATGCACATTTTTCCGGTGGTCGTCTCCCTACCAAAAGGTAATAAGGAGGCCCCAAAAAGGAAGACAAATTAGTTCACAATTTTCTTCAAGTTATTATCCATGATGATACCACATAGTTGTTGCTATGGACATAAAAAGGACAGCAATCTCCTAGTTGAAGTCTTTAAATCTTTGGTAAGCTCAGTAATACAAGCCCAGAGAATTTTCAGCATGTCGTGTAAATATGGCTCATCGTCAGCACTCAGCAGACGACCTATAAAGCTGTTCGCATGATTATGTGAACACCGCTCTCAGTGTATACAATGTCACTTATCTCCCCAACCTTGAGTGAAAATGCTGCTGTCTCAAAAGGCTTCTGCATCTTGTTCCTGCCAAACTTACCTGCATCAAGAATATATTAATTTGGTTCAAAGAGACATGCCCAAGAATGAATCACATTAATGGTACCTATATTCAAAATATATAGTACTCCTTTGTCCCATTTTATGTCTTAATTTCCTGTATTGGGTTGTCCCACAACTTTGTCCACACTCTTTTTTTGAACTCCACTAGTTTTTTACATTTTCCAAATTACCTCTTTATGATTCGACAAATTGACCTAATTGCACAATATCAATAATTTATATGCATTAATTTTGGATCCTACCAGAACCTCTACAGAAATGAACATTCTTATCCAACAGGCAACAAAGATGCCAAATCCTTTTTAAGTGATGAAGTGAGATATTCTTTGCACTTGGAAATCATTACTGAACCTTCCATGTTTACTTTCATGCACTTGATTTTGAAGAACATAAAAGATGTCAAATTGCATCCATGATTGCAAAGGGCCATTTAGTTGGAATTCAAATTCAATGGGAAAATAATAAATAAGTTTTCCCTCCCATTTTGTTTGTCCAGACTTTTTTAGTGAGTCATACCAGAATGTTTGACCCAACCTAATGGGATGGAGGTAGTGTTAAAGAAGGATTTCAATTTCTGTTGTTTGGTTTGGGAGAGTGTATTATTGGCAATTCAAGTTTTTGGTCTATAATGAAATTCAAAAAGAATAGTTAGTCTAATAGATCCTTAGGAGCTGGTGGGGAAGAAATCTATTCCGTGGTTATGAGTGGCAAAAAGTACAACGGCCTGCAGAAACGCTAACACAGCATAGTGGAGCGTTGATTCTAGGCTGGTAAGCACTACATTTGCTCCCATAGTTTAGTGCCCAAATTAAAAAAAAAGTGGTATCGAATGCAGAGCACATATTTAGCTTCACAGCCACATACAATTTATTTTCTTAAACATCAATACAGACATACAGTAATCTTGAAGATTCTGTACTTCAATGGCATATACTAGTTGCTTAACATTCATGATTAAACTTACTAGAGTCAGTATTGTAATTTGTACATTAACTATATGCATGAAGAAAACAGAGAATCAATGACAAATGAAAAAGAGCTTTGGGGCAATTGGTCAGTGTTACCGACCGAGATAGCCGCCTCGCTTGGCGGAGGAGCAGTCGGAGAACCTGGCAGCGACGTCTTTGAATTCGGATTTTCCAGTGACGATGTCTTCGCGAAGTGCCTTGAGCTTAGCAACTGCGGCATCTCTAGTGGTTTTGGAGATCACAGCTCCTTCTGGATCCTTCCAGGAGGTCTTATTACGGGAGCCTTGGTGCTTTATAAGTATGTGGGAAGCCTTAATTCTCTCGTCAGAGGACGATGACCTATCTGACTTTTTCTTGTGCTTGTCCGCTCGATCTGATGATGATATCGAATCCCTCTTCCTCTTCTGGTCGGACTCCATTTTCAAAGATGCAGCAAGAAAGCAGCGAAGCCCAGCAAGCGGCACTAATTCGCCTTTTGACTTTTTGAGGTCACATACTCTAATTCGGCTTTTCTATAGAGTTTTTGAACTCCCTACAGGAATTAGGGATTTTGACTCTTGTGCACCAATTCTAAAGACTTGTATCCAATGTAATGTCAAACCTTATCTTGGCATTAGAAAACTGAATTCAATCTATACCACATCTTCTTTCCCTAAGATAAATCACAATTTTGATTTTTAGGAAATAAGAAAATCATATTATTAAGGGGAAAATATTTAAAAAATCCCAAACTTTGAAAGAGTGTGAAGTAAATATCCAAACTTGCATATGTAATTTAAATACCCTAAACTTGAAATAAAAAGTTAGTTTTGCACCATTGTCATATATTATTTCTTTCAAAAATGTAAATTTATGGGGTTAATTGCATAATTTAAAATAGAAAATTAAAAGTGTTGCAATTATAAAGATTGTGGGTAACATTTATTTTCTAATGCAAACTTAAAATGTTAATGGTGTCTTCATGAATTCTAAAATATTTTAAATTATGCATTAACACCATAAATTGTTTTACATTTTTGAAAGAAATAATAGTTGCTATGGTGCTAAAATAACTTTTTATATAAAATTTGGGGTATTTAAATTACATATGCAAGTTTGGGGTGTTAATCTCACATCCATTTAAAATTTGGGGTATCTTAATTATTTTTCCCTATTATTAAATGTTATGAAAAAGTGTAATGTCGAAATTTTGACATTGCTTTCTAGTGATGTGACATTATACCTATGGATATTTGATAGTAGTAACGTAAATTGATAAGATTTTATTCATTAAGAATGGAAAAAGAACTTTACGTATGTTTTAAAAAGAATGCGAAGTACTAACATCATATACCATTGTAATGAAAAAAGAGATATAAGAAGCAAACAAATAGGTTGAATTAAGAAATAATGGCACAAGTATAACATGTACACTTTTAATAGACTAAAATATGATTGCTTTTACACTTTCCAAAAATATGACCTGTTCCCAAGCCCTTGCGTCTCCCTCTCAGCGATGATTCCCTTACGATGAAGCGAAGAAGATGACCATTTAGCTTCTCCGTGATGCTTCTCTTTCCTGGCCTCTCCATAGCATCTTTCTCTCGCAGCACCCCTCTACGCCACGCCGCTCCAGTCCTTGTGTATCACTCCCAAATTTCCCACCCAAAACATTGATATATTTAAAAGAAAATTTTTATTCATTCATAATAGAGTTGAAGAAATACAGCGGAAGTCTAAATAGGGAAATGGGTGTTACCGCCACATCCGGTCATCTCTTAACCGAATGCACAGGCAAACCAAAAACAAAACAAACCAATGTAACATAAGTAAATGCTTATTTGTTGACTAAGTTTGACTAAGGAATCTATAGGCCGCTCTCAAGACCATACGATCATCAGTCAATGATAAGTCCGTATTTAGACATGCATTTGATGCGTGTTCGGGTTGGATTTTGATGGTTTTCCTAGCTTTAAGGTGTTGCAAGTCTCAATTTTAGCTCAAGTTGCGATTATCAGACGTTGGGTCGAGTTTCTTTGCATTTGGAGTTGAATTGAAGAAGTTAGAGTCCGACAATCAGCGCTTGAGAGGCATTCAAGAAGGATTTGAAGGCATTCAAAGAAGATTTGAGAGATTTTGAGGCCATCGGGAGATTCACGACGAAATTCTGATGAAGAACGAGTATTTGGATTGACCTTGTATAAATCCGGGAGCATTTGGAACAAGAAAATGAAGAAAAAGTGAAGAATAAGGTCACGCACGGTCGTGCCCGGCGTTAGGCACGCCGTGCGTGCCTTGGAATGAAGCGGATGAGCTACTGGAACCCAGGCACGGTCGTGCCTGACAGTTAGGCACGCCGTGCCTGGACGCGTTTAAACGGGATGCTTCCGCAGGCACGGTCGTGCCTGGCGCCGTGCTTGACCCCGTTTTGTCCTAATTCAGCCCAAATTGCCTTGTTTCCTATAAATACCACCCTCTAACCCTAATTAAGGGGGGATGGAACTTTGAGAGCAAGCTTAAGGACGAATTTGAGAGCTTTTTGGCCCTGGTTTTTTCTATTCTTTGAGATTCTTTGTAAGTTCCTACTTTTTGATTAATGAAAATTAATTCCATTCTTCCCAACTCTATTGATTTTTCAATTCTGAGTAAGGAGTAGTTTTAATTAGGGATTTGGGGTTGATGAAGGGGTTTATCATGATGAATGACTAGTTTCTTGATGGTTTGATTACATGAATGCCGTTTAATTTGTGTTTGAATAATTTAACTGTTATCTTTTGTAACCTGGAACCGCGGTTAGATTTAGAATTAGAATAAATTAAGAGAGATCTAATTTATTCTGAGACACATTCACACACACTTAATCGCTCGCTAAGAGATTAGTAGCGATTAAGGGGCCATAAGCTCGCTCGTTTTGACAATAATTTAATATCCTGTCGCATGAGAGATCAGCCTGGTCCCCTAAATTATTGTACTCTACGCCGCGAGAGCGGTAAGAACTTAGTATTGATTAGCTAGGCTCAATTAAATTAATTTCATGTAATTAAGCCTGATCTGCCAAAATTCCGATTACCCCGAAATCAATCCCTGTTCCCTACTGTCATTAATTAGAAAGAACCCATTAGTTTAATTTCTTTTATTTTAATCGTTCATTCGCATTAGTTAATTTTCCCAATCAATCAAATCTCGCACGACGCATTTATTTTATTTATTTTTAACGCTGAATTTATTTAATTCTTAATTCCATTTTGTCCATCCTTGTGGAGACGATACTCGTACTTACACCACTATTCTACAATCTATTTTAAGTGCGAGAAAACTCACATCAGTTTTTGGAGCCGTTGCCGGGGACGGTATCGGTTTTAAGGGTTAATTAATTTCAACGAGATTTTTTTTAGTTAGTTTTCTTTTTGTTTTCCGTAGGATTTTTCTGTGCTAACCTTTCAGGTATTTTTCTAAGAGACATGAGATGAACCCATTCAGCCAAATTTCTGGAGGAGTTCCTTACCCTCAAACCTTCATGGAATATTCACCATATACGTCATACCTTCCTTACACTCCTCCTTCTCAATATTACACACCTCATCAAAATTACTCTCCTACACTACAAAATTATCAGTTCTCTTATTCATACCCTCCAACCACGCAACCTTGTCTGCCTAAGAATAATATTTGTCCCTTCTGTGGAGGATGTCACCATATATCTTTTTGCCCCGTTAAATCTCCATATGACCATCCTTATTGGGGAACTGCATACCCACTTCGTCCTCCCCACAACTTACAGACACAAATGTTTCGGCCACTCCTACATACTTCCCGAGTAATGAACCTCATAATCAACAAGAGGAGGCAGATTTAAAGAGACTTTCTAGCTTGGAGAAGACACTAGAGCAGTTCATTCAAGTGACTGCGGCTAGAGATCGATCAACGCAGTCAAGTATTAAAGAAACACAGTCAAGTATTCGGGTCATACAAGTTCAGTTGGGGCAGCTCACGAAGTCCGTATCTGAGAGATCCCATCCTAGAGACACAGAAGCCCAATCCAAGGAGACCAATGGGGATGATCATATGAGCGAGTCAGACAATGATTGTGGGAATATGATGGATGATACACTTCTTTATGCATGTGAAGACCCACCTATGTTTGAAGATGAAGAAGAAGATAATAGCGTCAAGTTGTTTTTCGAAGAATACATGAATAAGTTTGAAAGGACACAAGCTGTAACTGATGACGTCACAAGTCACTGCGATTTTCATACATAAGCCCCCCAACCGTTTGATTTACCATTAGTCTCAACCCCTTGCGAGAAAGGCATGGAGCAGACCAGTCATGACATTGAAGATGAGTTGGGAAAAGATAATCACGAGCTCCAAGAGAGTGATAGCAAGAATGACAAAATCATCCAAGAAGACATTCATGAGAACAGTGTTACTGAGAGTTGGGATGCCTTCATGGGGAGTGGTAATGAGTCCAAAAGAGAGGTTGTGAATGTTTATGATATTTGTGAGCAAGAAAAAGACTTTTCTATGCTGCAGTTCGAGTTTGATGTTGCTCCAGATCTTTTCTTTGAAACAACTTTTGAGCTTTCGGTGATACCTAGAGTAATCAAAGTTTTGAATCATGTTCTCTGTCCACCCGAAGAGGATGAGAGTTTCATACTTCACTTTTGTGCTGATGAGGGTTATGAACACCATGTGCTACCTACGTTTACTAGAGAATTTAAAGGTTTGTGCCACTTAATGGTATTTGTTGAAAGGAAGCTGGAAACGTTGATTGTTAGTGCACCACTGCAGTCTTTGTTATTTGAGAGCTTATGAGGTATCGTCGGACACACGGCGTTAAAAAAATAGTGCTTCTCGGAAGGCAACCCGAGCTTATTTCTGCTTTTGTTTTTGTTTTTTCTTTGTTTGTTGTTTGGTTGTTTTGCTTTGTGTTTTTGTTGCAGCTCAGGGTCTTGCTTTGGGGATGATGTGCCGAGGATCACTTAGACTCAGTTTAGTTCTACACCGACCAGCGCCCCAGGGAAGTTTCTGCGACTCTTTTAATCACCTATTTGTAATGTTGACTTGAGTTAAGATTGAGCACGTGTGACCCTTTCCTCTTTACCCCCTTGTGCATAGTGCATATTTGGTCATCGAGGGCGATGCCAAAGTTTAAGTGTGGGGGAGCGAATTGGGCATTCGGGCAGTAGTTGTTACATGTGATTTTTAGAGTTAGCATGCGCAGGTGTTAGTTGTATATTCATAGGAAATTCATGTCAAAATTTTGAAATTTTTTCTTTAAACTGTGTCTTTGTGAGCTGGCTAACGATTGACTATGCTTTTAAGACACCCTTGAAGTGTTTAGGCTTAAATTGCTTGCAATATAATCTAATTGTTGAAAGGATGAAGGCATTAGTCACCCATTTAATTCATAATTTTTCCATCTCACCTGAAAAAGTCCATTAGGAAAAGCCAATTTGAGCGTGACCATTTTGTTCCTTACCCAATCAATTGAGCTTCATAACCAAATGGCATGTGTTCCTTACCCGTGAATATTTCTGACTTAGCCTTGGCATTTAGGGAACTAGGGGATTAATTTGTTAAGTTTAGAGAATTTGTGTAGGATCCTTTTTTGGCATTGTTC